CTGTAATAGCAAGTGTGTTTTAATTATACAGTCATTGAAACCAGCTGTAGCCTATGTGCATCATCATTTTAATGAAGAAGACAACAATGTTGTTCGTCTCTAATGTGTTACACATTATGTCCAAATTGTACATCCATCACTTCCTGTGAATCATGTATTGACAGCCAATTTAAATCCTGCACCAAGCCCAACCCCATCAGTGACAGTGAAATTACAATACTGAAGCAATTACAGTGTGCGGAATTGCTTTCGCTGAAAAAAATTCCAGCCATTAATAGCATCAAAAATGAAATTTGACATAAAAAAAATATATATATATATATATATATTATAACTTTATGGCATGTTGTTGCACAGTCATGCATTAAACCAAAACTGACTTTCAAACGTCTTCCGATATGTCAACTGGAATTCACATGATTATGGAGTATTATCATGATATGACCTCTGTGCGAACGCCAAAGTGGAACTGCGTTACAGTCGATGTGCTGTACACATGTCAGTCTTGCTTTGAGCTGTAATGATCTGTGTGACCAAATGATGAGTTCAGAGGGACAGCAATGCAGTTATACAACACAATGCTGCTTGCACAAGTGTCATCTTGAACTTCTCGCACAGAGAAGGGGGACATATAATGGTAATTAGCTTGAAAACACAGAACTGTTGTTTTCCTATACCTTCATTATTTACAGTCTTGCTAAAAATAGTCTCTGCGGTATGAGTGAGGGGATTTTTAATTACAACAACATATGCTTTAATTACTGGAATTTCTCTTTTGCAAATGTTTATTTCTGTTGAACTTTTGAACTGAGTTGCCAAGCTGCATATTATCATTATTACTGTTCTTTGTGTTCAACTTTCTCTCATTAATGTGCCTCCTGGTCATGGATCTTTTTACGGGCCAGTTGCTAATGTTTCCATGGATAGCAAACCTAAATCTTTAGCATCTTGCTGCTACGTCATGTCAAATGCTGTAAGAGAATATCAGTGCCCCTGGTCCAATGGAATATCTATTATTCTCTGTCCATGAGAAACTGTACAGCTTGAATAACAGTGCTCGACATTTCCCTCTAACATTGTCTTTATTTTTTTTAATAACGGGCACAAAAAAATACTATGGTAATAATCAAAATCCAGCCAAATCCACTGTGTCCTAGAGTTGAAAAAGTTTATCCTCTGATAAATGAGAAAACCAAGCAAATCTTGAAATTGGTTAAGTTAATAAAGGTCTATCAATAGCAGCTAAGACAAGTGCTGAATGCAAACACTCCCTATCAGTCGTGTCCCTGCAGCAGTTGGTTTAGCAGAGCGTGTGTGTTTGGAATCTTAAAGGCAGGGATCCAGACACATTATTGAATGCCACTGAAGGGGTCAAAAAGGAAGTGGCACTGGGAGGGAGTGATAAAGAAACCTTCAGGACACTGGCAGCAGTTACTGCCATCACGCTGCGAAATGTGTGATGGGGATCATTTGTCGTATAGTCTCTCCAGAGGAAATCACTTGCATATATGTGGTTAATCCGTACCTGTTCTCCTCACTTGTGACTGTCAGGGGATCCAAGTCGCACAAGTCTATGAAGTGGATTTTTTCAATGACAAGTGATAGTAGGGGTGTTGCATCAGCGCTTAAAGAATATGTGACATTAGGATTTGTCTGTTTCATAGAATAACATAAATTAAGGAATTATGGCAGACAGACAGTAGTATCTCCGCGTTGAGATAACTTAAGAAATGTAGATGCAAGCTTAGGCTACATTCAGACTGCGCTGGATTAGCTTCCAGGCTGAGAAAAGCAAAAGAATTGAAATGCAAATAAGACGGGGATTACTGAGAGAGCATTCACTCTACCAGAGCCTCTTCTATTAACTGGTGAAACACTGGTCACATTTGAAAAAGAAAAGAAAAAAAAAAACAGTATCTAGGCCTAATGATTATTCTCTCTTTACTTACTTTTTGTTTATGGCAAGTTAATAATGAAATAAATGTCTTGCCATCAGTGAGACGTGAACAAAGAGGAGAACGTTTAGCACCTGCTTGGTAGATTACTCAGACTACAATATAACAAGAGCATAATGATTCAATCTAAGCCGATAATCATTCCCATTACTCCACACGCTCTAATAAACTAGTGCGCTGTGGCAGGCAGTCCCTATTCCCTAAACATGTTTGCCCTTGTTAGCATCAACCTGAAAACATAATAGAGCTGACACAACATCAGTGAGCGAGGTAACGTCTTCCCCCTGTGTGGATAAGGGATTTATTTGGCGATCCGCTGAGTTGCTTTTGAATCCAAAGAAAATGGTGCTAAATGAGAAAGTGAATCATCTTAACTTCAAAAGCATCCTTCCTGCACACTCAGAAGTGTGAAATTTGTAGCTGCAGGCATGGCACTGACTTGAAAGTGCCAAAATATGAATTCTTTTTTTTAATAGTTTTTTCAGACCTGGGAAGAAAGGGAGAGGTATTTATTGACTCTTCTCCAGCTCATTAAAATGCACTTACTGTCCTTGAATGTGTTTCTGTCTCTTTTGTTGCAATTTCATTATATTGTTGAAAACCTTAAGTATTAAATTGACAGCATGTGAAATGAATTCTCCTTGACTCTTGACTTTTTTTTTTTTCCACAATTTATCCGAACACAGTGATGTACACCCTGGATTGATATTAATGTGACTCACATGAAAATGTTCTATATAAATATCAAGGAGTCATGTCGGGACTACAGTATTTCATCATTGTCATTCAGACATGATGTGCACTTTCTTGGGTGCAGGGTGCCCTCTGCTGGCACAATTTAAACACAGCACAACATCCCCCCATCCATTCACTCTCTTTTCGTTCAGTCTAAACTGCACTTTTTTTTTTTTTCCTGCAGCTTCCTCCAGCTCCGCTCCCACGCACGCTGACAGATGTAGTGCTTACTGAATATGTCTTTCCTACTGCTCTCCTTTCCTCCCTTTATACCACTTGTCTCCCAATCAGGAAGTGACTTAAAGTGAATGAAAGATGGAGACAGAGGAGAAGAGAACTGAGACAATTGTTGCGCCAGAGTGGTGGTCTGGGCATTAAAGGTTGTGCCATTAAAAACTTTTCCTGATAGGATTTTCTTGACTTTTTTTCAGACAGTGTTTCCTTGTAGGGGGCCTTGAAGCTGCTTGTGTTTCCTGCAGTATCAGGACAGCTGGCGAGATGAAAGCACTAACACTATCAGTTTCTGGGTCATGTAGGAAAGAAGGGCCTAGGGAGGGGAAAGAGAAACATTTTAAGGGGAACACAACACACCTGTAGTCTCCCTAGTGTGTCCTTACCCAAAGCTCTCATCCCAACTTTCTCTTCAGGGAGTAACAAGGATATCCTGCTTACAGATGTTTCCAAACCTGAATATGATAATTTAGCAAAGCACAAACAGTTCCTTTTTTTTAAGTTTTCCTTTTCTTCAAATTTGGTTCATTGTTATGCATTTGAAAGCATAAAAATAGAACAATGTCCATCATTGTTTTGGTGGGAGGCATCTCAGACCTTGAGATGTTTAATTGCATTGCATTCACCTGGTAAGTTTTGAGAAAATTAAAACCCCCCAAAAAACTCATAACAATACAATTAATCGATTGACAATACACAAACAATGATATGAATTTGACAGTTCTCTGCAATTGTTCTTTTTCTACTATTGTTAGACGTCTTCATGTTTTACAGTCCAGACCAAAACATTTAGACAGTTACACATTTTTTTTCTTCCTCAGGCTTTATGCTCCAGCACATTCTAGCACATTTGAAACAAAATAATAGATATTGCATTAAAGTGCTGTGTCTCAGCTTTGAGTAGATTTACCTGAATCTAGAGAAGGACATAGCAAGTTCTATCCCCTTGTGAAAGGATTCTTTTCCCAGAGTCAGTGGGGCTATGACCAGTCGGCCACTTGGTATACTACGACATTTTCAGTTTACAGTGTTGCATGTTATATAACATGTTTTGCATTAGCTGTTAACAAAGAAATGTGACAGAGGAATGTACTTAGTGGCATAAATGGTATTTTATGTTTTTATTTTTTGTGAAGCCTTTGACATTTAATTTCTTAACCTTTTGGGCATTTACAAGAAAACTAAGGTATTGCAATTAGTGATAGTATTGAATTGAAAAGACTGTTTGTTATTTTACATTTTTAATAGACTGCCACAGAGCGGTAAGGTTATTTTATAGGTTTTTCAGATACAAAATGATCAATAACAGCTGCCTAGAGCTTTGAATAGGCCTGCCATTAAAAGCCTTGTGGGATTGTGGGATTGTGGGATTGTGGAATGACTTTTTTTTTTACTAGTCTTAAATAAAAGGTGTTCCAAATGTATGAGCAAATTTGGTGACTAGTTTTGGCTTAGAACATAAAAAAAACACAAAAGATGGCAGTGTGGAACAAAACCCATTTGCCTCAACTAGGGCAGGAATTTAGCTCCCCATTTCTGATGAAGGCTGCAAGAAAAAAGTGATAAGCCTATCTGAGCTTTGTGCTAGGCAAGTTCTGTAATAGGAACAGATGCTGCACTGAAATTATGATCTCTACTGTGGATTTTTGCTTCCCTTTGGTATGAAATTGTGACAGATGATTTTAATCCTTCCTTTGTCAAATTATGTAACATATTTCACTGTTCAGGAGCAGCCACAATACCAAAAAACAGCTGCTTCATTCAACCTTCACGAGCTGAAAATTTAGTGACTTTGATGTACAAAGCGGGGCAGCACTCTGATAACACTTGAAAGAGATGCACTGCCCTCTGAGGGGACATCACGCATGAGTGAATGTTATTAAATATCTTCTTTTTTTTTTTTTTAAACATTGTTTTCTGTTTATTCTTCCTCCCGGAAGGTAAAAGCTCATTCTGGCAGGAAGTTTAAATGTAAGTAAATCCATAAAAAGAAACATATTCCAAATGTCGACTGTATGTTCAAGACCTTGACCAGTGTGTTGTTGAATACTTTTAATTTGTATTCTTTTCACAAAAATACCTTGATATCATACATTTTGACAAAATCCTGAACATGTACAAAAAGTCAATAGCTGGTGGAGATAAAAGACCATCTGTCCACCTCCTCATCAGATATTCTTCTGTGCTTTGCACATAGTTTGCCGAGTTTTCCGTGTTTTCCTTTGGGTTTTGGAGGCCAGACAATCTTTACAGACTTTCAGAGACTTTGCAGTGCAGGTATGTCAGCTTCTCAGTCCTACTTTTCCTCAGTATGGGGAACCACTCATGATAGCCAAGATCTACAACCCTGTAGCCTGCCAGCTTCAACTGCCTCCTCTTCATGACATGCATGCCCAACAACTGCTGTGAATGGCAGCAGTAGTGGTTCCTGCTGGAGACTTGGATTGCGAGTTTGACTGTGCCTTTGGCATCTTGTTGGGCTGTACCTGGCTTACTGTGTTTGGTAAGAATTTCTATTATGTCACTTGTCAGTTCGAGCCCTGTATCAAACAGTCTCCCTTCATCACGCTCTACTCTGCGAAGAGATGTACACTTAGGAGATGGGGTTGAAGATTCTGTGGTGCTTTTGGTGTTTGTTAGCTGTGCTAAAAGTTCATCAGTTATAGTTACTCCTGTATTTACTCTGCCCCAACCCTGGTTTGAAGTAAAATTGGATGAACTGTTTTCAGGAGATAATGTGGTTTCATGGGATGCTGGGTTGACAGGTATTGGCTGCCCAGTGGAGTCAAAATGTACTTCCAGGTCAATGGAGCGAGTGTGGGGCAGAATCATTCTCTTACATACAAATTGCTCTCCCCCAAGCAGATCTTGCAGAGAAGATTCCGCCTCCTGAACCTCAGGTTTCTGGCACACATCAGATTGAGCAAACTTCCACAGCAGTTCAGCAATCTCCTCTCTGAGTTCACAGCTTAGCCTCGGGCCAGTCCACTGAGGCAACTCTAGAGACACAGCTCCGTCTAAAGTCAGTAAGTCTTTTTTCAGCTCTAGCTGTGTTGATTTCAGTGCTAATTTCACAAAGTCAGGGCTCAGTGCTAGTGCAAGTAGGTCCTCTGGGAACTGAGAGACAAAGGCCAGGCCTAGAAGACCAGTAAGCAGATGCTCTGGGTATCGTTGGAATTCAGCCTTCCTCAGTCTCAGCGCCTCTGTAAGGCTTGCATAAAAGCTGGGACTCTGAACTGGGAGAAACTGCAATGAACCAAAGGCCCACAGCAGTTTGCTTGAGTCTTTACTCCTGCAGTGTGGCACCAGCGAGGGCACTCTTTCAGCAACAGCAGTGAGGATGTTATCATTGCGATAATGCAGAGCTGAACAGGTCAGTGCCACATGCATCAGGCCCGAGACACCCATCCTGGGGGCCCGTAGAGGTACTTCCTGTGTCATGGCCTCCAGCCACACTCTGTGATACAGGTAACTGAAACGCAAGAATTTCAGCACATTCACCATTGCAAAGTCACTCATCTCCTTCACAGAAGAGTGTGCCTTATCAACAATACGAGTCACTGCACTCTCAGATATTGAGGTTTGGGATTTAAAGAGCCCCAAGCATACGATGCCCACCTCCTCAGGGTGCAATTTTTGTAAATGGCACATAAGAAGCCGCTGCACGGGGTGAATCAAGTTCATTGGGCACTGCCTACCTTCTCCCATTATATACAACAGCTGGACTAGTTCAGGGACCCCCATCTGTCCCAGATACAGATGGACTGAGTCATAGAGGTGCTGCAAGAATTGGGGGACCTCCCTACCAATACAGCGCCACAAATCAGCAGCTAGCAGCAACTGGTGTAAAGTCATCTGGTTGGCCCGGCGGCTCAGCTCGGTCTCATACAGCCCGAGTAGAGTGTGGCCAGAGGGTATATCCAGCCACAGAAATGACTGCAGCACCTCCAGCAGCTGCAAATCAGTAAAAAGACGCAGGTTTTCCACAGAATATCGGAGGAGCATGGTGAAGCATTTGTTACTCCTCACAAACGGCATCTTGTCTGGGTGCAGGCGGCTGAGCTCCACAAGAAACTGAGACACATCAGATGGCTTCATGCTGCCCTTTAAAACAGCCACTTTCTGGAGCAGGTGGAAGGCCTCTTCCCATTCTATAGGGTGAGGCCGCGGGGTGAGGTCAAGAGTCATGAAGGCATACTCAGGCCGACATTTATGGAAGGCACGTGTATCTACTTTAACGTCTGGTGGTATGGGTTTTTTGTGGTACTGTGACACTGATGGCATCTTGGGTTCAGGGTCCTTGTTGAAAGCTAAGTCAAGAAGTGTGTTTTTCGAGCTGGAAAGGTGCCGTGAGCAACTCACACTGTAGTGATTGCTCTGTTGCCAGAAGGAAGGTGCCAGAGTGGAGAGACACCGTTCATCCTCATCATTTTCTGTCTGGTTCCGGGAGGTTGCAGAGTTCCGCACAGAGTGATGATATGAGGACGGGTTGTAATACAGCCTGTAGCCTCCTTGGAAGGAAGCTTCCTGGAATTGAAATGCACCTTTCTTCCTCTCCTGCTCATCGGTCTCATCCTCTGGTTTGCCATAGACGTGTTGAGCCTGGGTAAAATCCTTTCTCAAGCCTTGGAGGCAGCGCAGCCGGGGTGCCCGCCGACACAGCACACAGGCAGCCATAGATCTGCCACACTAAAGAGACAAAATACATGATTTTAAAAAAGGAGTTACATCGAAACAAAATTGTCACTTATACATAGGATATATATAACAGATTTACTGAATAAAATGTTCAAACTTTCAATAAAAACATCCTGGTTTCTTCTTCTCTTTTTTTAGTCTTCAGAGACCAAGTAAATAATGCCTGCCAAGATTGGCTGCTCACACACTCAATTTAAATGAATGATCTTATAGTTAATACATTTATCGTTGCTGGTAAGACTCTGGTATTGACTGCGCAACTTGACATTTTGCTCCTATAAAATCAGTCTTTCCCTCCAATAAGGAGACTGCCAGCACGTCCTTTAGTCTAAAAGACACTTTACTTTCAATGAGACCACTATTAATAATGATAATGTATCGTTCATCTCACCATTACCTCTCCAACATTAACACGAACGAGTTATTGATAGTCAACGCAGCACGAACATGAAAATACCTCATGAGGTTAAGAAGACAGGAAGTATTAAGTCAAAAGAGGCGTTATCATTACACCGGAACTCAAGTATTTCAACCTTCACAATAAAAAAAAACTAGCCATTGGTTGCTAGACACCGTAACCACTGGTACTAAAACCTGGGTAAGACATCTTGCTGTGTTGTACAGAATTTCAATAATGTATCGGAATACTCAGTATCACCATTACGATCTGTCATTAATGATTGAAGTATCGTGTCGGACTTTTATCGTTTTATTCTGACAGGTTGTTATAGCTTCCGTGGTGAGCAGCCATAACTGAACAGAATGCGACCTACGGCAACTGGTTGGGTTCAAACGACAAAGGTAAAAAGAAAAGAATGAAAAAACTACCATTACAACCAATTCACGACTGATCCGTTACATTGTAGCCTACTAGTTCGGTTGAATCAGTTTATATCCTATATACAACTCACTGGAAAGTCAATTCAAACTCTCTTTTTTTTCCTTTGCCTTACACCAAATAAATGTTTTGACAAGTTTTAAAACTAATTAGATTAATGTCGAAACTAAAACGTAATATTTGAAAATATATATATTTAAAAGAACTTATATGTCCTAATATTATAATTATAAATTGTTAGTTGTTATCTGATAACTATTAGCTATTATACCACAGCAGTACAAGCATGATTATGTAAATATGGTAATTAACTGAATTTTCTGACTACAGACTTTTTGTTAAGAAAATATATCTTTAAGAATAAATGAGTGGGTCAATCAGTTGTACAGTAGGTTGTTTACTGTTATTCTATTGCTTGACTGTTTTTGTATATTTTCTGAAGCTGAATAATATTTGAACATTTCAACTGAGAAAATCCCTTTCAGTTTACCCAACTGTAAAGCATTTGAATTACCTTGGCTGATATTTATTATGAGTTATTTCCTTGTAAACACTTATAATTTCAACAAATCTGTGTTGAAAATGTTTGAGATTTGAGAGAATAAAATGTTAATTTATATCTTTACAAAAATGATTAGCACTTGAAAAGTTATTACAGAAAATAAACACTTAAGAGAACACATTAAAAATATGTCTTAACAACCATGAACAATTAAGTCAGTGAGTAGCTAATGCCTGGATTAATTACCAACCCAAATCACTTGTACAGGGGAATTTCAGCAAGAAGCAAAGTACTAAGTCAAATAATTTATATATGCTGAATATACTGTATGTCAGGATCTCTGCTATAGAACATTAATATTTCTGGTTTGATACTTTATGTGAATTGATTATTTAGCATAGTACACAAATGTATCAATATTGGATTTTTTTTACAACTAATCATAAAAGGTTTAGACGACAATATATCAAAAATACCTACACCATTTATATTCTCCAGAAATATCATAATCCACCCTCTTTCCTTTGTGTGTGTGATTTAAAAAATTCTATTTACTGTTTCCAACAGCACTGGGAAGCAACAGCTGACGGTGACAGTAATCTTTTTTACTCGTCCCTTTTAGTCCAAGTCTGAATCAGAAATATTTACTTTTTAAAACTGAGTTATGGCTTCTTGTGTTTTGAAACATGGGAATGGAAATAGAAATCTTACCAAACTTTGCAAATATAAAATCTCAGATCGGATTTATATTGCATCTCATTTTATATCTATAATTTTAGAAAAAAAGTAATCTTAGTATCAGGTCGGACAAAATACGATTTGTTTAATTTATTGCTAGATGTATATCCCTGTGTCAGGGATTACTTCTCAACTACAGTTTCCTTCCCATTGGACCAATTATGTCCTGTAGCCAGTCTTTAAATAAGAAGTAATTTTTGACCATTTAGATAAAGGCCTAATCTTCACATAACTGATTAATTTAGATTTTGGATGAACATGATTTTGTGTTTCTCAACTAATTTACAATATATCTCTTTTAATGTCTGTGCTTACACAGAAAATACTGAGGTAAACAAATAGGCTAGTTTAACAGTTTAACAGCATCACAAAAAAATGTTTGAACAGTTCTTTTAAAAGTGTTGTCATCAATGTCATCCCTGCCTCCTCAATATACCACTGTTTTACATGGTAAAGTAAAGTGTAACTTTGTGTCACAGAAATGCATCATTGATTTAGAAATGTCCCCTATTTGGAATAACATGTTTTTCATATTATATTGATTGCTATTTACTTTTTCTTTTCATTTTATTACATATCTTAACAAAACACATAAATAACTGCTTATACATTTAAACTGCAGCACCTTTTAACACTCTACATCTGTGAGACCAGGAGGGTGATTCCACATTCTGTGCTTCTATTGTGTGACTTCACACATGACTGAATCTAGGGGTTAAAGGTGAACTAGGCTGACCTGTGGTCATAAGACAATTCCCTGCATTTCTACTCTGAGAGGGAACACTCCTCATGTTCTTTCAGTGGGAGGAGCATTGGCAGCAGATACTTTAAACCATGTTTTTAACATTTCATTTTATTAGTCTTTGCTATAATCAGTGCCCTTTTCTATCTACATGTTAATCAAGATGTCGACTGAAATAAAATTTCCCACTACATATGTCATACTTTCAACTGCATTTTGTCTCATAAAAAATACCCAAAACAAAAATTTGTGTGGCCTTGAGTTAGAGAGTAGAGTGGTTTAAATGTAACACAAAAACACACAATAAACCTGCTCTGACTTTGTAATTGTGTTTGACCTTTTTATTGTAAATTTACTAAATAAATATATCTATTTAATGAGAATGGAAGTATGTTTTTGTGTGTACTATTAATTTCACATACACATAATGTATTTGGTTGTTATGAACAGGATATATGAATTGTATTTAATCAGCAATAGAATAACTTTGTACACAATACCTTTTATTACTATAACCTAAAATTTAATCATTTAACCTGGCTTTGTGTGTCTGTCCCTTGTAACAGATATAAATATAGGTATTCACAATTTTCTTGCTATTGTAGGAAAGTTAATGGCTTTTATTTAGTTAGCTGTAACTTAATATCACACATAATCAAATAACAAAAACTTTTCAGTAGCAGGAAGCAGATTTGACACTAAGACATCAGTTTATTTCTTTGGGTCTATCTAAACATTAAACAACGAATTGTTTATTTTGTGAGGCATCTGTGCAAATCTAACCTTATAAAAATGTGTTTAATAATAAAGGATTCAATTTAGTTTGCTGTTGCAACTTTTGAAACTTGTGCACCTACTACTAAAAAAATACCAGTCATTACTAGAAATCCGATAATAATTGAAATGATTAATGAGTTTGATTTGCTAAACAGAAATAAGTACATAAATGAATTCTAGTATATAACAAACTGGTTTGAGGAAACAATTTCTCCTTAGAATAATAGGATATATTTGTTTTAAATATTTATCCATTGCCCACTCATAAGACATTTTTTGTCTTAACGTTGAAAACAACAACAAAACCAGGTTATAAAACTTTATGGACATAGACTTGTGTAACTCTTGTGCTGTTTGTGCTGATGTTTCCTGTAATAGTAGCCTATTTGTTTCCTTAAAAAAAAAAAAAAATTATTAGTCTTTTCATTTTTTTCGAATTAGGTATAATGTGGCGGTTTATGTATTTCACCACCGCTGCATGTTTATCCACAGCCTAAATCTAGCGGTGAAACTTGAGAGCGGTACTTGGAGAGGAAGTAGTTGATTTATGCTAATGAAGGAGTTGGGGTTTAGCTACGCTGGCTGGGAGCCGCCCTTCATTCACCACATGGTTAAACCTAGACTCTACTCGCGCCACTTTCGCAATCTTACTACGGTTCCCAAACTCCTAGCAAATCATAATAGCAGCACATGGTTGTGTTTTTTGGATTATATGTCCTAGCTGTTATTCAATTTGTTAAGTCTTTTTTCTTTTCTCAGTTTTCCAGATATCCCCGAAACAGTGTGAGTAAACGGTAAGTCTGCACAAGTGAGTGAAGATGGTGGATTTTTAGAAGCTAGTGTCTTATTACGCGCATGTTATTGGCAAGAAACCTGTTGTTAGCCTTGTCGGGAGACGCGGTAAACGTCAGGAAAGTGAAATGCTCAAGACTGTACACGATACCAGAGCCACACTTTCACGTTTATATTCGGGGAAAAATGTTTTAATCGTCAGTTTCCGCATTTGAAAACAATGTTGTAAGAGGCGCATGGCAACCTCTCCTCCATGGTTGGAGAATGAGGGAGATTTGAAAAGCTTGTCTTGCTGCTACACCTCAAGTCGGTACCTTGGGGAAGTGAGACGCACTCGTGAAAATTACGCGTTGCACACTTCGTTAGTAGCTGCGAGTTATAGGCTCGTGTGGCCCTGTTGTCGGCCACATGTTGACAGAATTACAAGTTTTCACGTAATTTGTGCGCAGTGGTGTACACTTGGAAGTGCCTCCAGAACAAAGCACAGCAGCACATGGGGTTCCAGCAGGCCGCGCGCCTTTGCTATCCCGCGAGCTGCTGAGTTAGCTGCTAACGCTAACACAACGACGAGTAGATATCGTTAAGTTACATTATTGACATTGGCTTGGCTGACCATATTATGTGTGCTTAAGTGGAAATGGCGGTATCTGCAAGCACCCGGGAACACACACTGATATTTAATCTGTGTTAGCATGTATGAGTAAGCTATACCAGCGCAGCTAAGTTGGCTAAGATAAGAGAAAGCATTGCTTTGAGGTGGATGGAGAGTTAACGTTAGCATGCTGGCTCTGTGCGTCTTTAAAGATATTTTGCCAGATGCTGTGATTCAACATAACCCATTTGTGTATTATTATTGTAAACCTTTATAGGATAACAATGCTTGTGAAAGTGGACCATACTCAGGCTGCACGCGTTAGCCTGTTTGGCTAACACATGCTTGCCTCGGTGTGTTTTGATGGAACCCTCGGGTACTACTAGCTTGTTGTGTGATGAATTCTGTCTTAAGTTTGCAGTAGCTCGTATCATACGCTTGGTGCGCCTACTCATAATGAGCGCACACTTCACTTGCAC